TGCGGCGGCGGCGGCGCGGCGCTTGAAGGGGCCGCGTCGGGCGGAGCAGGGCGCCGCCAACATGTCGGATACGAAGGTAAAAGTTGCCGTCCGGGTCCGGCCCATGAACCGAAGAGGTGAGCGGCTTTCCCCAGCTCCTTTTGCATTTCTGCTCCGGCCGAGGGCGGGGGTGGGGGAATGCAACTTTGCAAACTGCTGGGCGGCGGGGGTCGGGGACACCGGGGTGGCCCGGCGTGGCCCCGGGTGGAGGCGGCGCCCAGGCTCCGGCCGCGGCCACTATGTGCCCGGGGCGCCGTCTCCTTGCCTGCCGGGACGGAGCCACGCGAGCCGGCTGCGGTCGCCGATGATCCACTTTGCAACGTCTCCCTGCCCCTGTGCTTTCAGAGCTGGAACTGAACACCAAGTGCGTGGTGGAGATGGAAGGGAACCAGACGGTCCTGCACCCTCCTCCTTCCAACACCAAGCAGGGAGAAAGGTAAATCCCACCCCGCCGGCTCCTGCCAAGTTTGAGCCAGGAAAACCCGAGTGCGCTCTCCCATTGTTAGCAAGGGTGGCTTCAAGTTTGTCCCACGCTCATATGAGAAGCGGTTGCAAGTGCAGGGTCCCCTCCTCTCTCTGTGTCCCTCTCTTCGTGTCCCTCTCTTCTTGTCCCCTCTCATCCCGAGCGGTGTCCCCTAGGCAGGGAACCCTGGCCAGAGTCAGCACTCCTGACTTCCAGGATCCCAGAACGTGAAGGGACCGAATGGAGCCCTGGAGATGTGTAGAACAGGCCACATTTTACAGATAGTAAAACCGATGTCTGAAGCATGCAAATGACCAACCCAAGGTCTTATTGATGGAGTCTAGCGCCTGCGATTCTTACGCTGGCTTATTTGCCCCCTTTAGCAGAACTGCTTAGGGATGTTGTATGTGAAATGGGGGGGGGGGACGGGATCCGATAAATTAAACACCCGGGTACAAGGAAGACTAGGTCTTTTAAAAATCTTTAGGTTGTTGGAGGCGGTGAGTTGAGATGGTGTCTGAAATTAATGCAAGGATTTTGATTTTCAAGGAAAACAAATAGAGCCCTGATCTGGAGCTATTTAGACGCAGGGATGGGGGATGTATAGAAGGGGACTGCATTTTCTAGATGGCAAGGCATTTGCATTTGAAAAGTCGTAACTGTGGGATCCTTATTAATTCTTCTGTGTTCCATGCAATGGTATGGGAAAATGCCCTAAAATAATGTGAATATTTGGCATTTTTCTGGTAAGCCCCTGAGAAGAAATAGGTTGGAATTTATTTAGTATGGCATTGTAGGAGCTTGTAAAAATAGAAAAGAAAACCGAGATTCAAATTCAGCTTAGAAATGAATATGAGTTTGTCTCTGAAAGTCACCTGTTGATTGATGCGCTACATAATGAGTGAATTTTGCTCTTCAGAGTTTCCTTCAGACAGACTGTGAAGTAGGGGTTGTTACTTTATTGCTAACCGAGGCAGCTGCTTCCTTCTATAATGGAGCTGCGTTACAGCCCAGCCTTGCTAAATTTGGGGTAAGACTGTTATGAGGGAGAAGATTGGGGATTCATTCTTTGCTTTTAGTGTTGAGCCTAGCGTGTTTCATTCACTTTGCAAACATTCTGCTTTTCCCTGGAGATTCTTATAGTGACATTTAATGGCTAAGTTATTTTTAAGATGTGTCAAATACTTTTATAGAAATGGATGTATCCTTGGACAGTATTTTTAGACACGTTAAAATATTTACAGTACATTTAGACATATGGATAGTAGTGTAGGTGGAATATTTTATGGTGGGCATAAATAAATTTGTTGAGTAAAGTATTTATAGGTTTAATAGATGCCTCTATCATATATCTTTTTTTTTTTTCAAAACTGGATCTTGTTATATTATTTCAGAAGACTATTCCTTTGGCTCTGATTCTTCAAGGCAGCCTGGGGAACAGGTGGACTATTTTATTTTCTTTTAGGAAGCTAAGGCTTCAATTTCACTTTATGGCTTGGTACCCAGTTATCACTCATCCCTATTCTTTAAATATTTTCAACCATGAATGTGTTTGTTTGTGTGTATATGTGTGTGAGTGAGTGAATGTGTTCGTTCATTCATTCGTCCGCTCATCCATTCATTCTGAGGTGCTGGGGATGGAGCCCAGATCCATGCTGGGCATGTACTGCCAACCGCTGTCATCGGCTCTTCTGGCCGCTCTTAAACCCTAAGGAATGCTACTGTCATCTACTGTTGAGTGAAACCAAGCCTCATCATTTGTGAATAGAAAAAGGCTTAGTTTTGTGGAATTTGAAGAGAATTGATAGCTCTGGGTACCTGGTGGTAAATGCTAAAATATCACTTGGTCATTCTTAGGGCCACTGTATTAGATCTTTGAAGTGAAGATTTGTAGAGTATGATCTGGGCATTTATCCATGGGCATGCTTACTTGGGTAGACCCTTATCTGGAGCTCTAAGAATTGCATGGAACTGTGAGGTGCTCTATTGTTCTGGACTGGCAGGTTCGATTTTTTTGTGTGGCAGATGGGCCATCTCTGAGTCTGCCCAGGTGCTTACTGAGATAACACAGCACAGCGGGGCTCTGTTCAGGTCAGGATGACTGTCTTTGCCGAATGAAGACACCAAGTGCATTTGGATGTCCACTCTGCAGCTGGTTTCGTATTTCTTCCAGGAACTTCCCCTTAAAGCAACAGTGCATTTAAAAATAGAAACCATTCCTCCCTTGGGCTGTGGCTTGGGAATCACATCTGTGCTTTATGGTATATTTGCAATTCACGTCTGTCGATCCTCCCCCCCCCCCCTTGGATAGAGCTCAGGCCAGGACAAGGGTGAGTGGGTAGAATACTGAGAATGTAATTAAATCTTCCGGGAATTCCCAGGTTTGAAGTGTAAGAAGTCCTTCCATAAATATTGGCAACTTGTTGTCAGGTTGAGAAGTAGCGTTTTTCTGAAGTTGCAAAAGATTACCCATGCATTCATAGAAGCTCCGAATGACCGGGTCAAAGTTTTCACTCTTACCAGTAAGGACAAGGGAGAATAAATACATTGACTTCTAGGAAAATGAACAGGCTTCACTTTCATACCTTTCTTTTAGGAGGGGATAGCATTAGGGGAGACCAAAAGATCAGAGGACTTCTCAGGCCAAAGATGTTTGGTTTGATGCTGAAATTCCAGCATTATAACTCTGCATGGGGGCAGGTCCTTAGCTGGCCTTTCAGACCATTCATCCTTCTGTAGTGCTAAGACTTATACAAAGTTCCTGCCCGTACCAGGCTTGGCGCAGGAGGCCTCACCATTGCGAGTTGTGGGAAAAAAAGAGGAAAATGTTTTCCATGCACTGTGGTGACTGCAGAGGTGTGTGTTTGTGTGTGTGTGTACACTGTATTATCTGTCAGTTCTCTGCTCCTGTCTTGCTGTGCACTCCCTGAGGACAGGGACTGTGCAACGGCTTCTCCTTGTGCCCAGGTCCCCACACAGCCCCGACACATAACAGCTGCCATGTGACAAGGGCTGTAGTTGCCACCCAAGGTAGGCAGCCTGCTGAGGTAGCTGCCATCAGGCTGCTCTGCTCTTATGCAGGTTCACTTTGCAAGATGAGGCCAAAGTCCTTCATGAAGGAAAAAGTATTCCTGCAGATTTCTTCTGGGCAGTTCTCTGTGTAGGATATAGGGTGAGGAGTGGGATGCCCTGGCAAGGGGATTTGCCTTGGGTGGGGATTGAATGAGAATCCCCAGTTTATCCATTGGGTGAAATATGCTAGGCAGAATCTTCTCAGCTCTGCTGGTACCATCCTTACCTTCCCACCCTCTTACGCTATTTATTTTATTTTATTCATTTTGGTTTTTATGAGACAGGGTCTCATGTAGCTCACGCTAGTCTTGACCATGCTAATTTGTGGAGGCTGTCCTTGAACGCTCAATCTTCTGCCTTTGTTTCCCACGTGCTGGATTACAGGCCTATGCTACCATGTCTGGCTCTTTTCTCACTTACTTATGATTCATTTTTCTGAAAGTATAGGACTATATCTGTACATACACACAGAAGCATGTAGCTTGCTTCTCTATATTTAAAGAAATGTTTTTAGGTCTTTTAATATCAGTATAGGAAGATTCATTTGTTTTTACATCTACCCTGGATGATAGTAGTAGTTTTAAAGATATAGGTCGTTGGGATAGGGATCTGATTCTTACAGCTATCAGCATTTAATATAATAAAACACATTTCTGAGATGTTGTTATAATTTTATGTCAGTAAATTGGAAGTGAAGCATCATAGTGATGTTCATGTCTATTCCTAGCTGAAAAGGAAAAAGGGCAGTCTGACTGGGACTTTGATCCCAGCTCTTGGAAAGCAGAGGCAGGGAGATCTTTGTGAGTTTGAGGCTAGCCTGGTTTATATAGTGAGTTCTAGGCTAGTAAGGGTTAATGATAAGATTCTGTCAAAAAAAAAAAAGGCAAACTGGGGAGAACATCGGCAGGCTCTTAGTAAGGGAGCGTCGACATTGTTCATTTCTTACCCAGTCTTCCATATTGCAAAGTGCACAGTGGACCGTGGAAAATGCATGAACGCTTCTTAGCCAACTACAGTGTGTTCCAGTTCACCCATCATATGATGCATGTTTCCAGAATGGTTCCTCTGTGAAGAAATTTTAAGTATTATTGACAGCCATACAAAATTAGCAAGACAGGTCCCTAAGAGTCAGTAGGGTTCCACATTATGAAGTCATTTTGAGGACCCGAGTTCTGGTCTATTTTGTGTTGTTTCTCTCTCTCTCTCTCTGGCTTTATTACGAGTTGGTTATATGAGTGCAAGGTGAATTTAGGTTTCGCTAGTCCAGGAGGGCACATTCTTCTTGCCTGATAGTGGAGTCTGGAGGAGAATGACAATGTAATATTTCCACCAGCTGTCAACATGTCTAATTTGTTTTAAAATAAGGTTCATTGAAATCAAAGAAGACTAAAAGCAATTATCATCTGGCTTAAAGTGATTTAAAAATTATTTGGGGGAACTCGGTCTGGTGGTTGTTAACTGTGATTCCAGCACCCAGGAGGCCAAGGTAGAGGGTCACCTTGAGTGGGAGGCGGTTGTGGATTACAGCGTGAGTTCCCTGCCAGCCAGGTCTAAGACTGCCTGCCTCAAAAATCATCAAAATAATGGCTGGGGATGTGGCCTCGGTGGTGGGGCCCTTGCTTAGCATTTGTGCAGCCCCACACTGGGTTCGATCCCCAATGCTGCCTCCCTCACACTTCACACTAGAATTTATATTATGAACCTGTGAGTATGTGTAATTGTCAGGGCTCATGGAAGGACACTCTTAATCATGTGCAGTGCCCATCTGATTTTCTGTTCTAATTCATTTAAAAATGGTGCTCAGGACTATTGAGCCTTTTTCACAACTCACTAGTAAGTCACAAACGTCCAGTCTGAGAAAGAAAACATAGTTTAGTAAGATTGTGGACTCTGATTTTTATTTGTTTAATTTTATACTGTTTCTCGACACCCCCTCTCTCCCCCCCCCTTTTTTTTTTGGTCTTGCTGTGTGGCTCAGGCTGGCTTAGAACTCATTGTAAAGACCAGTTGGCTTTGAACTCATGCTTCTCCTGCCTTCAGAGTGCTAAGACTTTTGCACTGCCTTCTGGGAAATTTCTTCTGCTTGTCTTCCAAAACTTAACGCTCATTTTTTTTTTTTCTTTTCTGCCATTACATATTTGATTTCCAAGATCAGCTTTTTGGGTCTATTTTTTAAAACATCGTCTTGTTTGCTTGTGGTCTTTTCCTGTCTGAGGATGCTAATGATCATTTGCTCCGTGCAGTCTGCCCCCTCCTCCACAGTGCGACATTTTGTTTGTTCTGGTCCCTTATGTCAAAGACATCTTAGCTACACAGCAGCTTTGCCTCATCTGGACTCTGGTGTCTGTGGGACAAGGACGTGGCCTTTGTCTTTGTTGTCAGTGCTCAGCTTCTTCATTCCTAGCACTCAGAAAGCATTTTGTAAATTCTCTCTGCTGGTGTGGTTATTCACTCTTCAGAGCTTTGCTTACCGCCCCCTCCCCCCTTCACTGAGAGCATAGGTAAAGGCTCCCGGGGAGCACGGCAGCTGCTTTGCAGAGCTTCCAGTCACTCCCATTCGTGAGGATCATTAGTTGTGCTTAGGACAAAATGCTAGGGAAGAAAACCCCCCTTTTAATCTTGTTTTTGTATTACTATTGCAAAAAATTTCACGAAGAAATTGTTTTATCCTTGTTAATTTAAGTGAGAGGTGTATGCCTATTGGGCTGTAAGGGGGGAAAAAAGACCCTAAGATAATCAGAGTGGCACCAAGCTGGCTAGTGTACTGTTCTACCTACCAGTCAGCCGCTTCTGGCAAAATGGAGAGATAAGCCGGGCGGTGGTGGCACACGCCTTTAATCCCAGTCTTCGGGAGGCAGAGGCAGGCGGATCTCTGAGTTCAAGGCCAGCCTGGGCTACAGAGTGAGTTCCAGGACAGGCTCCAAAGCTACACAGAAAAAACCCTGTCTCAAAAAAAATAAATAAATAAAAATGGAGAGATAAATCAGAAACTTGGATTGTTTTCAACTGTCAGTAAAAATTTCACATGCCATGCACTCACATAAATTAAAGAAAATTTACAGCAATAAATTAACCCTAATTGTAGGCATCTCAGAGACAACAACGTTTCTCAGAATTATAGAACCAAAGCTGCCTTTCCCCAGATCTTCCTGGGAGCCAGAGCAGAGGTGGTGTTTACGTGTTTAGAATTTAAAGCTGTTTCCAGAACATTTTCTGCAAAGGAAACAGACTAGTTGTTTCTCAATGGCCAAGACACACAGAAACACTCAGATCTCTTTGTATCTCAACAGTGTGAGAAATTAACTAGAACCGACCAGAGTGGTCAATAAGGAAACGGTGCTGAAGTTTGTATGCAAACATTTTCAAACAATCAAGAGTTGATTTAGCTAGGGGTGGTGATACATGCCTATAATTACCGGGCTCTGGAGGTGGAGGCCGGAGGATTAAGCGTTTAAAGCCATCCTTCCCTACACAGCCTGGGTTACACAAGAACCTCCCTAAAAATAAAATTAAAACTAATTTTAAATAAAGAAACAAACAGGGCTGACCTGTGAGATTCATCAATTGTCTTTTAAAGGAAGATCATACTATAAAATCTTTCAGGAAATCTACACTTGAGAAATATAAAAAGAAATTCCTCTTCGAAAATTAGTTTGAATGGCATTACCACTCAAGACAGCAGCAGACAGAGAGTCAGGTTTTCATATCTTTCTCCAAAATTTCCTTTGGAAAAAGAAGTAATTCTTGGACTTGTTGATTTAAGGTTCAGAAGGGAAAGTGGGATGGTCATGCAGACTCTCAGGACTGGTCTTTCTCCTTGGAGTCCTGAGAGTATTCTTCCGTTTGCCCTTCTTGGAAGCTGTCACCCTCCCTGATCCTTCTGCCCTCTTTGGCCTGGCACTCTCAATTCTAAATTCTAAATGGAAGCCCCACCTAAACGGTGAAAATGTTAACAGCTAACTTTGTCTTCAGATTCAGAGAACTCAGGGCAAGTTGGCCAGCCCCGGAAGAAGCCGGATTCCTTCGAACCCACCTAGCTTGTGCTAATCACTTTTGTGTGTTGCTATGAACAAAATACCTGGGGGGAACAACCCAAGTGAGAAAATGTTTATATTGTGTAACAGTTTCTGAAGGTTTCAGCTCATGTGGCGAGCAAGGCATGGCAGAGATCCCGACAGCAGGAATGTATGCCAGAGGGCAGCAGGCCGAGGGGGCGGGCTCTGACTTTCAAAGCCCCACCCCCAGCCACCTACTTCTACTGGCCAGGCACCACTTCCTAAATCTCCACTAGTAAATTGCAACATGTAGCCTTCCTTCCTGCCCTGCTTCTCATTTCTCTGGCCACACGAGCCCTCTTTGCCCCATCAGTCCCCCAAGATGGAGCTCTCACACTGAGCTCCTTTCTTCTCAAGATTGCCGGCTCTTCGGTAAACTGGATTCCTTCTTACCAACTCCCATGTCTCAGGTATTGGCCTTTTAGTGGCTGACTTACTCTAATAACATCAGAGTACAAGAATGAGAGTTGTAGTCCCATCCCCTTCGTGATTATATCCAGGGATGATACCATGTTACCATGAGACTGGTTGTTCAAAGTCGTGGATAAAGTAGAGTTATTTTCCAGACTATCCTTACCGTGGCTTTTCATATTAAAGCACATTCATGTGTTTCTACAGAATCGCTTCAGTACTCAAATATCTTTGGCTTTACATAGAGCATAATAGAAGAAAGAAAAAGTCACAACCTAACAAGTCAGCCATTCTGCCTTTATCCTTGCTTCTTCGACATGAATATTTTCAGTTACAATTTTGTGATGATTTCATTTCATTTTCCTGCTACATGGCTTTCACAGTTTTCAATTTGATAATTAAATAGCTTGTTGCATTTCACTCTTTTTAGCCATTTCCATATTTTTAGAACTTATGGTTGTTTCTCTTAGTGATTGTATAAATAGCAGTAACCTCTTAACTGAAAGGCATAGGATAGGGGCTGGTGAGGTGGCTCAGGTCTTAAGAGCGCTTACTGTCCCCCCCCCACTCTTGTGACACACACACACACACACACACACACACACACACGCACACGCACACGCACATGCACACGCACACACACACACAAATAATAAAGAAATTGGAGGGGATTTTTTTTTCAAGCTTGCTAACACAAATACCCATCTTAGAGACACGATATACCACATATTATCTTTTTCATTATAATGAAGCTAAAAGTCGATGATCTTTAGAGCCACAGATGAGTGAGTTTCCGACCAGTTCCCAGGTGACCCCATGCTTGCTGCCTGCTCTGAACCTTGCTTTAGGAGCTTCAGTTAAAGAAAAAAAAAAACCAAAAACCCCACAAAATCTATTAAAGCACTGCTTAGTGAAATTTCCTGGAGAACAGAAATGTTCTGTGTCCCACTATCCACTAGACTTACATGATTAGGAAGCCCTTGAGATGGGGTTAGTGTAACTGAGGAACTGAACTTTAAACTTGGTTTAATTTTTGTGAGCTTAAGCAGCTCTGTGTGGCACGTAGGGACTGTACTGGGTAATGTGGATTAATAGATTTTTAAAAAATATTTTATTGCTTTATGTATTTGGGAGTTTTGCCTGCACACATGTGTGCTGTGCACCATGTACATGCAGGATGCAAGAATGCCAGAAGAGGCTTTCAGATGCCCTGGAACTGGAGTTAGAGACGCTTGTGATCCACTGTGTGGATGCTGGGAATCAAACGCAGGTTGTCTAGAAGAGCAGCTGAGCCCTTTTAACAGCTGAGCCCTTTCTTTAGCTCCAAGACAATGGTTCTTAACCGTGACTGCACACTATACCCTGGGGTGCTTGCAAATACATGCCTGGTCCTACCTGCTGAGATTTTGGCTACATTGAGTGTCTTAGTTAGGGTTACTTTGGCTGTGATTAACCTCCATGACCAAAAGCAACTTGGGGAGGAAAGGGTTTATTTCATTTACTCTCCATCTTTGAAGGCAGTCAGGGCAGGAACCTGGAGGCAGGAGCTGATGCAGAGGCCATGGAGGAGTGCTGCTTACTGGCTTGCTCCTCATGGCTTGCTTACTCAGCTGGATTGCTTACAGAACCCAGGACCCACCAGCCCAGGGGTGGCCACCCACAAGGAGCTGAGCCCTCCCACATCAATCAGTAATTAAGAAAGTGCCCTACAGGCTTGCCTCCAGCCTGATTATAACGGGGGCTTTTTCTCAGTTGACCTCCCGCCTCTCAGATGACTCTAGCTTGTGTCAAGTTGGCAGAAAACAAGCCAGCACAGTGAGCAATAATTTACCTCGGACACTTCTTTTAACAAGGCTTCCCAGGTATTCCAGTGACCACCGTTTAACAAACCTTTTTCTAGCAGACTGAAACAGCCATGCTGTTGCATCCATGGATTCTGTAGTTACTGTGACTGGGGAGTAGCCATCCCAAGCTCAACTAGTTGAATGTCCAAGGGAGTTAGTAGCTGCAGCAACTACCTCTAATCACAAATGCCTAGTTAAATTGCACTTCTCTGAACTCACAAGCTTAAGGCTTGCTTCTCATGAGTAGCCACTGTTGTAAACGATTAGCCTAGTTTAACAAGCCACGCTTTAAGCCCGGTTTTACAACCCAAGGACTCTCCAGCCAGGTGTGTCTGACTGCACCCCTCAGTCGCTGTTTACCTTGAGTTGGGGAGAAAAGGGATGGATGGACTCAGTAAAGTCTCCTGGGTGCCGTGAACCTGCTGGATGATGACTTGTGGGAAGACACAGGTTCTTTTTCCAGGTTCAGACTCGTGGGCCCCAGTTCCCTGCTTCTCTGGCCTTCTCTGGTATTCCCAGTTGGGGACCACGGGTCAGATCTGCCCTGTGGTGAAGTGAGAATTCTGGGTGCTGCCTAGTACCGCTGCTGCTATGATCTGTATCTCTGAGCTAGCCACCGATGGGCCACTTTTGCCTCGAAGTTCCTTCATTGGTACCATTTAAGTCTGGACTAGATCATCTGTAAGGTCACGTTGGTTGTGGTTTTCCAACTTCTAACATCTGGATTTGTCCCTGTAAGGTATTTAAATAGAGAACCAAGTCAGATGGAGTAGGCAGCAGACATGGCGGCTGAAATGGGGCTGCCTTTGAATTTACGTCTTGTTAGCGTGTCCGGAGTCCTGAGGCGGACAGGGAGGCCACGGGCGGGAGGCTCAGCCGGTGAGCAGTAGCTGAGGCTTGAAGGTGTCAAGTGAAAGAAAACAGCACTGGCTGCAGACACCCAGGTTCTTATCGTCTGGCTGGCCGGGGGCCTGGGGCGCTTGCAGATGCTGCATCTGTCTCCTTTCTTGCTAGAGAGATGATGGCTTTCCCGTGTGCCTGTAGGACATTAGAAAAACCATTGGATCTGAACCTTCTAATGAGATGTGTAGGTGCGTGTGTATGTGTGTGGCTGTTTCGTAAGGTATAGAACATTATATAGGGTATACTAAATGATGTTCTCAGACTGTTAGCATAAAGCTTCCTTGGGCCGCTCACTTGCTCTGGCTGGATGGTGAGTCATCCTCCCCCTCCCCCCAGAACAAGGTCTTGTAGCTCTGGCTGGCCTGAAATTTACTGTATAGACCAGGCTGGTCTTGAACTCACAGAGATCTGTCTGCCTCTGCCTCCTAAGTGCTAAGATTAAAAGTTCAGGCCACCATGCCCAACTCCTGTTTTGTAAAAAGAAAAAAAAAAGTCACTTTCTGTTTGTTTTTAGTTTTTAATAGTATGTGTATGTGTGTGGTGGGTGGTCTGTGCACTTGGAGTGCAGGCACCTGAGGAGGCCAGAAGAGGACCTCAGATCCCCTGGATCTGGAGTTATAGGAGGTTGTGAGCCGATGGATGTGGGTGCTGGTAGTGAAACGGGGATCCTCTGCAAGAGCAGTCCATGCTTTCAACAACCCCGGCTTATTTTGTTTCTGAGGATTTTGTTATAACCCTATTAACCTCTAGTTTATCCCTAATATTTCTACACTGGATCTCAGCCAAAGAGCAGAGGAGTAACGCCCACAAGTACTTACTGTCTTCTCTTATGGGATAAACTCTGTGTGTGTGTGTGTGTGTGTGTGTGTGTGTGTGTGTGTGTGTGTGTGTGTCCGCGCTTCTACTCTGGTTTAAATACTTACTCCTTTTTTTGTTGTTTGTTTTGGACAGGGTCTCATGTAGCCAGAGCTAGCCTTGAGCTCTCTGTAGTCAAGGCTAGCTTGAACTCCAGAGCTTATTGCCTCTACTTCCTGTGAGCTGGAATTAGAAGCCTTTGTCCTCTTCTATGAGCAGGATGGAGGTTGTTTCCTGTGGCCCTTATGAGTCTGGTCTGTAGGTGTGAGGAGCATTCCTGCTGTCAGGCTCAAGGAAGGCATCTGTTTACCATTCTGTGAGGGAGGAAGCAAGTTCTGGGCCTTCCTTTCTTTCTTTTTTTTTTTTTGGAAGTGGAAGGAAGCTTTTGGGAAAAGGGAAGCTTTGCCCTTTGCAGCCGGCTTTTCGTGCTGGCTCTGAGAGACACTCCCTAGACTGCACACCCATAACCCGCAACCACAGACATGCACATCCCTCAAGCTGAGAGACTCAGAGGATAAGCAGGGTGGCTGACGGATGGTGAGCTATGCAGGCCTTCTGTTTTGAATACTTTTACAGATAGATTTATCCTGCGCTCTGGGTGCAGCCACGGAGCTCTCTGTAGTTTGTTGAAAAAGGTAAACAAGCCTTTAAAAACATTTTACATTCTAATCTGGAGTTTAATGAAATAGTTCACAATTGACGCTCTCTGTACCCACCCATCTTACTCGCTCAGCTCGATGGGGAATGTTTAAAGATCTGTAGCTGAGGGCTGCAGAGACAGCTCAGCGGTTATGAGCGCTTGCTAATCGTCCAGAGTACCTATGACTCCAGTTCCAAGGGATCAACGGATCCAAGTTTCCTCTTGGGGAAAATATATACAGGTGGCATATTCTCATATAGACATATGCACGTGTACATAAATAAAAACTAGGAGGAGCTGAAGTGGCGTCAGTGGTGAAGAACATGGACCCCTCTTCCAGATGATCCAAGTTTGGTTTTCCAAGACCCACTTTAGGCAGCTCACAACCACCTGGAACTCTGGCTTCAATGGAGTCTGATACTTCTGACTTCCTTGGGTACCTACACACATGTACATACTCCCGTACAGACGTGCACACGTACATAATGGAAGCAGATGCAGAGATCCACAGCTAAGCACTGGTTGGAGCTCCCGGAGTCCAGTTGAAGCAAAGGAGGAGAGATTATATGAGCAAAGGGGACAAGATCATGATGGGGAAACCCACAGAGACCTGAGCTAATGGGAGCTCACTGACTGTAGATGTAACCAACCATCTTATTAAATAAGAAACACAGAACCAATGTAAAAGAGAAAGCCAAGAGGTCAGAGCTCAGAGCTAAAATCTCACCCTTCCTCCTGCAGTGGTCCTAGCTCTCCGAAAGAGAGCTACTTCCTGTGTGTACGTCTTTTCATAGTCTTTTTGTTCTGCCTTCTCATTGGTTGCAAACCCAAACAGGTGACTGCCTCGTCACTGTCTGTATGTACAGCCCCCCCAGGTCTTAAAGGTGTATGTCTCCAATGCTGGCTGTATCCCTGAACACATAGAGATCTACCTAGCTCTTCTACCAATTGCTGGGATTAAAGGCGTGTGCCACCACCGCCACACTCTTGCTATGGCTCTAATAGCTCTGACCCCCGGGCAACTTTATTTATTAACATACAATCAAAATCACATTTCAGTACAATTAGAATACCACCACACACTGACTCTGGACTGATAGCTGGGGAACCTGCATGGGACCGAACTAGGCCCTCTGAATGTGGGTGACAGTTGTGTGACTTGGGCAATTTATGGGGCCACTGGCAGTGGGACCAGGATTTATCCTTTGTGTATGAACTGGCTTTTAGGATTCCCCCAGGGAGGGGGATGCCTTGCTCAGCCTTGATGCAGCAGAGAAAGGCTTGGTCCTGCCTCACCTTGATATGGTGGACTTCCTTGACTCCCCATGGGAGGCCTTACCCTCTCTGAAGACTGGATAGGAGGTTGGGTGGAGGAAAGATGGAGGGTGGGTGGGAGCAGCAGGGGGAGAGGGAACTGTGGTTGGTATCTAATGTGAAAAAAGAACTCTTAAATAAAAAAGATAAAAAAAAGTAAATCTTTGAAAAAATTAATAAAAATTAAAAAAAAATATTTGCTGTTCTTGCAAAAGACCAGAGTTCCATTCCCTGTATCTGCAGTGAATGGCTCACAACTACTTGTGACTCTGGCTCTAAGTAATTTGACTCCCTCTTCTGGCCTCTGCAGACACCTGCACACACATGCACATATACACACAGATACACAACAGCATATATACATACATTTAAAAATGCTGTCTTAAAAGATTTCTAGCTGAGGTGGTGGTGAGAGGCTTTAAATGGGCTCGGGCTTTGGTGTCGTCTTCCTTTTTCATTTTCTACCTTTAACCACCTCTATTTATGCCGTTACCTAGAGCGCGGGACTCACGGTGCCAGCCGGAATGGGATGGTAGAATGACTTCATGGTAATGTGTCGACACAGAGGAAGGTCCTCAGAAATTCCTCCACTTGAGGCCATCACTTTCAAAAGGGGGTGGGAGAGAAGAGTGGTGGTAGGGTGGGCTTATCAAGAAGGTGGTGTTCAATTAAGCAGCATGGATGGATCCAGTGTAAAGGTCTGAAGTCTTCCTATAGAGTTACAAAGAGAGAGCAAATAGGAAACTTTAGCATGGTAGTGCTTGTTTTCAAAGTTGTCTTGGCACCTTGAAGTATTGCTGGCTTTGATGGTCAGGTTAGTATTTACCAGTCTACATTTTTGTCATGAGTTACACAGTGGAGATGCATTTTCCAGAATTGTCGGTCTACTGTTATCCTAAACAATCCAAAAGGAGCCACTATGCCTGGCTCCTTTTTATTGAAAAATTTAACACGTTCATTTTCTCCCTTCCTGGATACTGAAGGGAACATTAGTATAGGTGGCCCTGGGCAGTGGTCTGCAGTTGGAGTTCCCTGATGTCTACTTTATTGACCAGCAAAAATTTGAGTTTCTTGGGTTCTGTGGGTCCTTCAGGCCATTGCAGGACACATTGTTATAGAATTTCACTCCCTTAAAACGTTGACCAGTAGGGTGTGGTAGCAAGTGTCTGTAGTCCTAGCTACTCAGGAGGCTGAGACAGGAGGATTGCTGGAATCCAGAAATTGGAGGCCAGCTTAGGTTAAAAAAAAAAAAAAAAAAGTAGACCATGGAGTGCCTTTATTCTGGTCTATGTTGAATTTTTTTCTAATATTTTACATTTGCTTGTTTATTTTTGTGTGTATGTGGCCATATCACTGCATGCATACAGAGGGCAGTCTGGGGGAGTCTGTTCTCTCTCCATTTGAGGGATTGAACCATGGGCATCAGGCCTGGCCGTGAGTACCTCTACCCACCTAGCCATCTCTCCAATCTGACTGTGGATTTTCTAAGTGGCAGGCTATGTCTTTCTATTTGTAATTCATTGTATTGAACTAATCCATCATTTGCAAAATTAGCCTAAGCAGATTTTTTAAATTTATTTTGATTTTATGTATATTGGTGTTTTGCCTGCATGTATGTCTATATGACAGGGTTGGATTCCCTCGACTGGAGTTATAAACAGTTGTGAGCTGCCCAGCAGGTGCTGGGAATTGAACTCGGGTCCTCTGGAAGAGCAGCCAGTGCTCTTAACTGCTGAGCCCTCTCTCCAGCCCCTAAGCAGAATTTTTTAAAAATTAAATTATTGTAAGCTACCCATGGACAGGTTGGACATCCCTTGATGAAAATGCTTGGGACTAGAATTATTTCAGCCTTCTGACTTTGCTGAACTGCAGAGTGTTTATGCCACATACTGAGGCATCACGGGGATGAGGCCCAGGTCTAAGCTCTATATTCATTTGTTTATGCTACACTTTATACACACAGCCTGCAGCTAACTTCATGCACTATTTTCAGTGCACATGTGATTTGCCTGTGACCTGTCACATGAGGTCAGGTGTGGAATTTTCTAGTTGGGACATCGCCGCTCAAGTTTTGTGTTTTGGAATATTTGGATTTCAGATGTTCAAATTAGAGCCACTTAATCCGCATCTGAGCCGCAGCTTTTACCCTGGATGAAGAGAAACTCCTTGTTCGTCTTTTAAGGTGTTTTTGTGTGGAGATCAGTGAGATGTAAGACCAGCATTATGCAGTGCCCTCAGGTGTGTGTTAGCCTAGACCCTAGAGGCAGGTCCGAGCTTTTGTCCTTGTGTGGCAAGGCTGTCACCTGCAGATTTAACCCTTGAGAACTGCACAATAGTTAGAGAAAATAGTCATACAGAAAAAGCAGCTTTACAGTTCTGAGTTGGACCACATTCAGTCATTCTTGCCACATGCCGCTGGAGGCATGTTGAACACATCTGGGTCCAGAAGTGTGGACTTGGGAGACAGGCTGCTTCTTTGAGTCTGATTGTGCCATGATCTAGCAGGAAAATCCAGGACGGAACCCTAACGTGACTCCCAGTGCCTCAGTTTCTACAGCTAAGCGGAGTAATGGAAGTATAGACAGTTGAGGGCTGTGAGGTGGGCTCGTGAGGCACAGAGTGTGGACGGTTTTATTTTTACTACCCGGGGACACGTGAGGGTCGCTAACCTGGCTTTGCTTCTCCGGTGGCTTCTTATTCATTTTAGGTTTAAGAAAAGAAGTTCTCTAGTACCTAAAAATAGCAATTAAAAAAAAGTGAGAGAAAGCCTCAGTGAAGTGTAGTGTGGCCTGCTCCTATAATCCTAGCACTTGGGAAACTAAGGCAGGGAAGTTGCTGCCAGTTCAGGGCAGTTTAGGCCACGCATCGACCTTGCCTCAAAATAAGGGTTAGGGTGAATAAAGAGAATCTCACAAGTTTATCCATAAGTCTTGTGGTTTTCTGATGACCTTTTATGTAAATAAAGCATGCATTAAAAAAAAAAATTTTTTTTTTCAGAGCTGAGGCCCGAACCCAGGGCCTTCTAGGCAAGCCCTCTACCACTGAGCTAAATCCCCAACCCCAAAAATGTTTTATTATTTTTAATTATATATATATATATATATATATGAATATATTGACTGAGTGCCGGTACGTTGGGTCCCCTTGGCTTAACCACTGAGCCTCTCTTTAGCCTACAGCATGCATTTTAAGGACTTCTATCTGGTCTGTGATCAGGCACATTGCCCTTCTCGTCTGATAAACACACTGCTTCCTCCAGACAGGGCACAGTGTGTTTGTGGAGAGGGACCCGCCTTATTTATGGGCACTCCTGTATCTTAGGCAGTTGGCAGTCGTTCACTTAGGTGAATTTGTAGCTAGAATCTGGGCATGAATACCTGCCAGAAGGAAGTGTTCTTGAGGAAATGTGGGTGCATCAAGAATGAAGCTGGGACATGGGGGTGCTGCACCCAAGCTGTGGAGGGAGGTGGAGGGGAAATTCGGGTGTCCCACAGCCTGGCTGGTGTGCGGAGTACTCAATCCATGCATGTTACGGCCTCCCTTCCCTCTGGGCCACGTGCGTTGTCTTGGCTGTTTTCAGACTGACTGGTTTTGTGAATGAAGAGCACAGGTGCACTGGCCTGTTTTGTTCGTTTTCGTCAACTTGACACAAGCTGGGGTCATCTGGGAGGAGGGAACCTCAGCTGAGAAGATGCCTCCATCAGATTGGCCTGAAGGCAAGACTATGGTGCATTTTCTTGATTAGTGATTGATGTGGGAGAGTCCAGCCCACTGGGGGAGGCGCCTCCTTTAGGCTTTATACACCATTTTATACACCCGGGTTGTATAAGAAAGCAGGCTGAGCAAGCCACGAGGAACAAGCCAATAAGCAGTCTTTCTCCATGGCCTCTGCCTCAGCTCCTGCCTCCAGGTTCCTGCCCTGACTTCCTTCATGATGAACTTAAAGCTGTAAACAGAAATAACCCCTTTCGTCCCCATGCTGCTTTTGGTCTTAGGTTTATCACAGCAGTAGAAGCCTAACTGATAGGACAGATGTCTGGCTCTTTAATTCACTTTGCCTCTCCTTTCTCTCACTGAGCCGCCCCTCCTCAGTCTCACCTTGAGAACAAAGAAATAGCATGATGGGGAACTGGGACAGAGGGTAGAAGGCAGACCACGGAATGAAGAATAATTAAGAGAGAGAAGAGGCCTGGGCCGTGATGCTGTAGACTTCCCAGCCTATCCTCAGAGTTGCCATCCAGAGGCAGCAGCAGGCTGGCCTCTGGGAGGTGAGGTTGAGTTGTGTCTGGTCCTGCAGCCG